GGTTTTACGATTCAGGCGATGGGGTTTAATAATGCAATAGTAACAGTATTAATCGAATGAAATATAGAGACAGAGAGCATGTCAAAGGAGCATCTCTGATCATCCCTCATCAGGCAGGTACGATGGTATTTTATAGGTGAGGGAGCCGAAGGCTCAGTTTCAGAGTCGTAAATTTTCTGAGCTAGAAAATTATAAACGAGGCTCAAGAATTCAAGTCTCCTGCCTGGGAACTGGGTTCCTTTATTACTTTGCTCCTAATAACTGGAGAATGGAAACTGAGAGCGACGAAAAGTTTCACCATTTTTGAGGCATGGTGGTGAGTGGACAGAGTGTGGCACTGGGGGGTGAGGACACCTGGATCCTGCCTCCAGCAAAGCCACAGAACCCTTCTGGACATCATTTGCTTTATCTGAAAATAAAAGGATTGGATGAGATAAGTGACTTATTTCTCTTATTACTACATTAACAGACACTGACAACAACAACAGAAATCTAGTGCCTTCTAAAAATATGGAGGGCATGATGAGGGTTGATGGTGCCAAGGCTCTTGGTTTGCTGGGAAAATTCTGTCTGAGCTCTTTGGGAGGCCTCCCACGCAGGGCATACTGCTAAATCATTGCTTTAGGTATCATTGTGGTGCAGTGGATGAGTCTGAGTGTCATGGTCAAAGTCAAAGAGGCACATGGGCTTTCTACCTCAGCTTGACCCCATTAAACCCACTGGAGTATGACTTTGGCCATAAAAAGCAAAGATATTGGCTCTGAGCCCATCGGGGTTCTGAGGCTCTTAATAAGCAGGAGTCTAGCAGGACATGAGATGGATTTTATTTTATGCAGTCCGTATTAGGGATCTACCTCGTCCAGGGCATATGTGATAGGAGAATGCTAAAATGCACATCCAGGGCCCTTCAAACCTGATTTGACTTCACGTAGTGATGCAGCAAAAAGAACCCTGAACTGAAAATCAGAAGACTTGAACTCCAGTCCTGAACAGGCAGGTCAAGTTTACCTTGGAAAGTAAGGTAGCATCTTAGGACCTGTTTTCTCCTTTCTAAAATGAGAATTCTCAGTGGGTAGTTTCTAAGTTTTCTCCTAGTTCTGGCAATCTGAGATTTGTGTAATATTAGAACTTTATGAGACAGGCCATCAGGTTTCTTGGGGGTCAAACTCTATCCCAGAGGCAAATCGAGCAATGTTTTTTATATACCAAACCTTGATGAGCTTTCAGGGGATTGGTCTTATGGGCAGAGTTTCTGAATTTGGCTGCCACCTGAAGCTACGTTTTCTGATTGCATACTTGAGGATAGCATATTTAAAATAAAACATAATAGTGGTGGCATCTCTAAAACTTACAGTTTAACCCTTTAGCAAGGATTTACACATGGAAGCTTTAAGGTTTTAAGTAATATTCAGAATTGACAAAGTGTAGTCAGAGCCAAAGGTAGTTGGGGAATTTCATGTCTTACAGAAGTTAAATTGATTAATATCACCACTTGACCTAGTTTATCCTTCAAATGTGGAATGTGATCTCCATTCCTCCATTGTGTTCCATTTATAATTGAGTCTTGTTAACTGTCATCGTCACACTTTTCCTGAGGTCCAAAATGAGGCAAGTAGTCAAGTCATGCTAATATATTCTTTTTCTGAATTTTTTTTATTATATAAGCTTATATGTATATCATATTTTATATACTTTTTAAAATTCACTATTTCATGTGATCCTTGCAATAGCCTATCAAACTGGAGATAAAAAACGGTGTTTCCATTTTAAAAAGGAAAACCTGAGTTTCAGGTGCCAAGGTCACATGTCTAGAAGTGACCACACTCCCAATTATTTTTTCACACTTTCATTACCGACAAATGGATGGTTTGTTCTGCTGTTCAAAGGGCATCCTTGCTCAAGGCGGGTGGATATTTGCAAGCTCCTCACTAATAACTAAATGTTGGCATGTTAGAGGGAATTACTCAGAAAAAACAAAATGTGAATGATTAATCTAAGTAGTGCTAAAGGGTATTAATGATTAAAGGATACTTTGGAGAAGAATATTTTCTATATTGTCATAAAGACGTTTAAATATTGTTGATTAGTGTAAAATATGTGAGAAGTGCCTAGGTAAATTAAAATGAACCTATAGAGCTGGAAGAAGGTGAATATCCCAGAAAGAGAAAAATTTATAAGGAAAATCAGGAGGATCTGAAGCAGAAATAACTAAAGAAATTTAACTATAGAACAATTGCATTGCCCATTAGTGTGGTTTATTTTCTCAAAGTTTGAACTTCTAAACTTATACACCGAATTCAGTGCTGTCCCCTTCAAAGAAATTATCATGAGAGGCTATATACTTAGTCCATTCATGCTGCCTATTACTTAAATTATTTCTTGAACTTCGCTTTTATAATTGCCTTCTGAAGTGGACACTTTCTTTTAAATATTAATGGTGGTTTAGATAAAGTCAGAGTTATTCAGAACCATGGAGATAATTTCTCTCTCTCCCTCCCTCTTTCCCTCTCTCCCCCTCCCATTCTCCTTCCCTCCCTTCTCTCTCTCTTCCTCTTTCCCTCCCTTTCTTCTTTCCTTCTCCCTCTCCCCCTTTCTTGCTTTCTTCCAAAACAGAGATGAGACTAAATATTTTGTGTGTCTCATCAACCTTCTATGAAGACTTCTAGAAATTATTCTAAGCAATGCAGTATTGTTGGATTAACGGTGTATTTTCCGAGTTAATTATGTTGGGTACTAAAATTCTGGTTTGTTTGTTTAAAATATTTCATTTTATACCTTTGTAATTATATTCCTTTAAATGAATGATATAGGGATTTGATTGGAGTGCTGAAATTGTTGAAAACTATAGGAGACATGACTGTTGTCTTCTAACTAGTGATGGGCTTGAGCAAGCATCACTGAGTGAGTGACGAGGAGCCTTGCAGGGTATGGAGAGGATGCATGCCACATGGAGCGCTGGGCTGAATTAGGGATGCTACACTTCTATCGATTGGCGGTGTCCAGAGAGAGCAGCCAAGGGGATAATGGGAGGGACTCAAAGCCATAGCATATGACAACTACATGAAGGAACTAGGGATAGTAAACTCGATGTGGCAGATGGGAATCAGGGTGGTATAGCAGAGAGGACTTAGAACTGGAATGTGGCTTAAAATGTCATTTCTGCTCCCAATTAGCTGTGGAACATTGGGCAAATAATTCGACCTCTCTGTACTTCAGTTTTCTTATCTATCTAGTTAAAATTATACAACTTAAATGAGCTGAAGATTTCTTCAAAGATTAAAATTTATTTTATAAGGGATACATGATAAATGTCTCCAAATACTTAAAAAGCTCTCATGTTAGAGAAGAATTAGACCGAGATTGTATAATATCTAAAGAGGAGACCAATATCAAGGGCCTGCAGGGCAGCAGTGAGATGGTTACCTTGAGGGTGGAGGGTAGAGTGATAAGCTCCCCATCAGCGGGAGTATTCAAGAAGAGCTGAGAGGCCCAATTTTATGATGCTGTATCAAGGGGAAGTACAAACTGTGAGAAGTGGTGTACTAGTTGATTATGTAGGTTTCTCTGAATTCTGAGATTCTAAGGATCTCTACTCTGAGATCTTAAGAGTTCTTCATGGTTGCATTTGTGAAGCTAAACAAGACCAGAGAATGAGAGGCTTAAAAATCCCAGGCAGCCCTAGAAGTGAGAAGTGGTCCATGAGTGTTTGGCTCATGATGCCTGGTCATCTTTATCTCTGCCTAAAGGATGTACATCCTAGCGACCTTGTTGCTTAATCTGATGTTACCTGGAAGAATCAAAGAAGAATTTCACAGTTTCACTGAATGAGAAGACTTAAAAGAGGGACCCTTAAGCTGCCTCCTGATGCTTTATTTCTTTTCCCCCTCGATGTAGTACTAGGAAATCACCGTTGGTCACATCTCTGAAACCCTTTAGAACCTTCACGGCAATGCCAGGATACCATCAGGCTGAGGCTCCAGAGTAGCATGTCTGTGGACACAGAGCTAATCATTATTGATTTCTTGGGCCATTATGGTAAAAGAGACATTAAGGACTGCCAGCACAGTTGCACTGATTTGGTTGTAATGAGCGTTCCTGTGGGAATTCCCAATGAGAGAACTCCTCATCAGAATAGAGCAGCCAACAGGGTAGAAGGGGTGAGCGGGAGGTGCAGGTGTCGTGGAAGGAGACAATTTCATTGGCCTGATTCTAGTTATTTCCAGAGTTTCTGCTAATTTCTGAACCTGTGCCTAGACCTTTCTATGAAATGCCACCCCCTGGTTCCCCATCTGCCCCACTATTTTCTGTTCACTATGCACAGTGCAATAGCCCTGATTCCCAGAATGCATTTGGGGAACCAGATCTCTGACTGCTGGACTCATCTCTCAGCTCTTAGAAGTATGGGCTAGGCAGGATCTTAGCAAGAGTTCAAAGCCTATGCACATCTCTGGGATGGGGAGAGACCCTAAGCTCCAATAGCCCACCGTTCTTAGCAGAAAGTTGCCTTGGTACACTCCCACTTTCTTTTCTTGTTTCTACCAACTCTGTCCTTTGATCCACCACTTTAAAAAAAAATTGTTAACACAATGAGGGTTTACTGTGCACCAGGCTTCGTGGCAAGTTATCTCATTTAAGCCTTATAAACTTATAAAGTGGGTTTCTTTATTACTCCGTTGGGTTTTTTGGGGTTTTTTTTTGGTAGCTAGGGAAAGAGTGTTGTTCAAAAGGCTAAGTAATTTCCTCAAAGTCATAGCTACAGACTAAACTCAAACTCGGCATGCTTATTGTAAATGATTATGTTATCTTCTCATATTATTCTTATTAGGTGAAAACCTGATGACTCTAGTGAGTAATCAAATGGGAGTTTGAGGGGTGCCACGTTTCACATGGTATCTGTGCATCTACGAGTCTATCTCCATCCACCTTTCTCTCTGTCTTCCTAGCTATCTTGTTCTTGACATACCTTCTTCTTACTTTTAACTTTTCTTTTATCTTCACAGGTATCTGATCAATGTCACTTTTGAGGGGAGAAATCTGTCCTTCAGTGAAGATGGCTACCAGATGCACCCGAAACTGGTGATAATCCTTCTGAACAAGGAGAGGAAGTGGGAGAGGGTAGGACATGTCTTTGGCAATTCTCAAGCACACTGGAGGGGGAGGGATGGGAAACTTTGCAATACATTAAATGAAAACAGTTCCGTGGTGTTGGTGTGTGAGGCATGGAGCAAGAAATTGGTACTTTGAAAAGACAGAAGAAGCCATTTCTCAGACTTGCAGCTTCATTTTCTTGCTACGTTGGTTAATCAAATGATTATTTTCTTTATGTATTGCCATTTTTATTGGTTATGGTGCTGTCTGAATCATGACTTTGTTTTAATGGAAGATTATGCATGTACAATATAACACAATTTGGTGAAGAAACCGTATCAGTGGCACAATTTAGAAGTCATGTCCTACACGGTACCCTGGGGAGGCCTAATTTATGAGCAGGAAGTATGGATTTACTCCCACTGACAGCTGGTCACAGTGTCTGAAATTCTACCATTAAGAATTAATTTCTGTAGGGGCCAGATGGCCAAGGTTTAACTCCCCATTCCCTTGCTCACTAACTTGTCAACTTAGAACCTTGTACAGATGTCTTAACTACTTGTGCCTCCACTTCCTCATCTGTAAAATGGGAATAATAACAGCACCAATATCACAGAGTTGTTATGAGGACTAATATATTATTATGTAAAAGACTTAAAAAGGTGTCTGGCACATAGTAAACACTCTATAGGTATTCACTTTTGTTATTGTTCCTGATTCCTAGTTAAGTACAAATGATCCTGAGTGTGTTCTGCAGGGCACTGGTTCCACCAGATGCTTTGCTGAAAAATGGTTCTGCAGGTAAACAAGGTTGGAAGATTCTACCTACTCTTTCTCATTCTGAGAGATTCTCAGAACATATTAGCATTTGAAAGTTCAGAAATATCTTATAGCAAAGAAACATATTTCATCTTATTTAATTTGGCATTTCCCAAAATTATTTTAACACAACACTCCTTTGTTCCTGAAATTCACATTCTGTGAAACACGTTGGGAAGCATTGATTTAAGGCAATTTCTACAGACCCCATGGACCAGTTGGCTGAGAGCAGGCTTTAAGATGTCAGCATGACTCTGACTAGGATGGAAACAAATATTTCTAGCGAGAGTAGCCAGCAAAAGAGGCCAGAGATAAACTCTAAATTCACAGTCTTATCACAGAGAGCCCTGGGCAGGTATTATGTGACTGCCCACCTGTGAAACTGGGCTTAAGTGGCTCAGGCAGTGGAACCTAGGACCTTATTCTTCAAGTTGAAAGACCTCCATCTGTCATGTCGTTCCTCGTTTCGAGGCACAGTAGAAGGCTTACACTATCCCTGGTGTTCTTGATTAAAATTGCCCTCCTCCTCTGCATTATCATTTGTTCAGAAATGGTTGTTCCCTGGGCTCCTGCTCTTCATTCCAATCAAGCTGCTTTTTACTGCCGCTGTAGAGACAAAATAATTTAAGGAGTGTGCTGGGACCCTCATGTATAACAGGCACTTCTGTACATCTCCAGAAGAGGGGTTATTAATAACTGAGGCTTCAGGCATGGATCAGAAGATGCCCAGCTGGGGTAGCTTTTTGTGGTAGACTCATGATTACTGTCTCAAGTATGGGGCATCTCACACTGTCCTTTTTTAAAGAGACACCACTTACTGTCACTTGTGCTGACTTCTCTTTCTGAGGCTGGAATCTGAGGTTTGCAGGCCCCACCCCTTTCCAAAACTAGACCCTTTTCTCTGGAATTTGGATCCCCTCCCTCCAAATCAATACATTCTAGCTCTTGAGTGTATTCCTTAATTTTTCTATGACCCAGGAACCGTGTGATGTGCCTCTGTGTCCTTGATGCCACCTTTGTCCATTCGGATCAGTCCTAAAACGTGGCTGTAGAACAGGCTTCCTAAGGCACAATTCTGATTATGGTTTTTTCTGCCCCAAACCCTCTCAAAGCTTCTGTGGCTTATGGCTTGGGTCCAAGCTTTATTCTTGCGTTCAAGGCTCTGGACTACCTTCCCAACTCCTTTCTCTTTTTCTTTGTTTCCTCCTCGCCATCAAGCTGTATTGGACCCCTCTCTGTCCTGAGAGTGTGCCCCTGCGTGTATAGCATGTCATGATGTTTTATTTTCCTGGGATGAATTGTATAATTATACAAATCATAACCATGTATTGAAACCCAATTAAAATGTTGCTGCCTCCTTCCCTGATCTTGGACCGAAATTGAATCTCTCACTCCCTTGTCCCTGTAGCTTTCGTCCATACCTCTGTATCACTCATCACATCTGCCTGTGTTAGGGCTGTATGTGTGTAGGCTTCTGGAGGGCAGAGGCTGTGATTTTTCTTGTGTCCTCAGCAACCTGGAAGAGTGTGTTGCATAGAGCAGTTCAATAAATATGTGTCGAATGAATGAGAACCATTACATAATACAAGTCTAAAATCCATCATTAAGAATCCAAGTTTATGCCATTGCCCTTGGAACAGTAGCTGGTTGGTTTTTTTGTGTGTGTGTGTGTTTTTGTTGTTTTTTTGTGGTGGGAAATTAGATCTTTATGTAGGCTGAGTTTTCATAGATCATACTTTAAATGTACTAACTTATTATTTAGAGAAATTCTATGGTTAATCTTTTTGTAACTTATTATTTAAAGGAACTTATTTTTTAAAGAGAACTTATTATTTAAAGAAACTCTGTGGTTAATCTTTTCAGAAAGGATTTTGGAAAGGGTTGAAATCATAGAATAGACCATTTTCATATCAACTTGGTTAAATAAGGGAACATGCCCTGGCCAGTTTTGCTCAGTGGGTAAAGTGTCAGCCCACAGAACAAAGGGTCTCAGGTTTGATTCCCAGTCAAGGGCGCATGCTTGGGCTGCAGATTTGATCTTCTGCCCTGGCGGGGCACCTGTGGAAGGCAACCAATCAATGTATCTCTTTCACATTGATGTCTCTTTCCCTCTCTCCCTCTCCCCTGCTTCCTTTCCATTCTCTCTAAAAATCAATGGGAAAAATAACCTCAGGTGAGAATTAACAACAACAAAAAAAATCAAGGAACACTGCTGAAGAGACATCTTCTGTGTTCACTGAGCCACGCAGCTTCTAAACTTGGGAGCCCTTGTTAGGGCTCACTTGTGGGCAGGAAGGGGTGGCAGGAGCCAGGCACAGCTCCAGAGCATGTGTGAGATGTGGTGAAATTGCACTGTGGGGAGTTGTATCTTTTCTCCCACTGTTACCCTGGCCCCAGCACCCTCTGCATTCTCAGGATTCCTAATACCACTCCAGCAGGTAACCCCTTGTGGTCCAGGGAAAAACTTAGTGTCTGTAGACTCCAGAGAGGCAGACACCAGGGTAGGATTCTATAGTGAGGAAGTTGACACAAGATAACTTGGGATGGTGAAAGTGTGCAGATGATGTGTTGTAGGATTGTGCACCTGAAACTTATATAATTGTAACCCATGTCACTGCAATAAATTCAATGAAAAGGAAAAAAAGAAGAAGAATATAAGCAAGAAAAGAATCTAGATTTGTGGAAGAAACATGGGCTAAGAGACCAGACTCTCAGTCATGCTCCTAACTGGCTGTGTGACCTGCTCTTTTCACTTTTCTAGAACTTTCTTTCCTTGTGTCTAAAATCATGGCATGTGATTAAGAAGATTTGTAGGGTCCTTTCCAGCTCTAACTTCTGGGATTACAAATTAACACTGTAAGTAAATAGGCACTTGGAGTTAAAATCGGGTGAGAGCTGGAGCATAGCAAAAGGAACCAGAGTCTGTTTTTAAGGATAGTAGGTCCCAAGGCATAGTTATCATTCTTGCCATTTAGCTAAATATCACCTCCTCAGAAGGCCATCCCTGCTGACCCGAGATAAAGTGGCCGCCTGGTCACTCTATCACAATAGCCTATTTCATTTTCTGCAGTATAGTTATTATCTGATGTTTGCTTTTTTTGCCCGCTGTTTGTTTATTGCTTGTCTCTTCACGCCAGGATGAACACTCCGTGGGGACAAGGACCTTGTTCTTGCTTCCTGTAGTTCTTACGAAGAAGAGCGGACACTCGAGAGATAATTGTTAAATACATGACGAATCCGTACGCTTAGGAGGGTTAGAATATTGACCAGCTGCTTGGCTTCCCCCTGCGAGTCTCCCGTTCAGGCAGCGTGGCTTACTGGACGGAGCGTGAGGGCGGGCTGGGTGCGGGCTGGTGCGGGCAGAGGTCCCCGGGCGGCCTGCAGTGTGCACGCTCAGTCCGGGGGCGGCCTGAACAGCGTCAGCAAGCAGATCCGGGAAGGCTCACTGAGCTGTTGGTGTGAATCGGGGTGGGATTTCACAGTATTCCTTGAGGGTTTTCAAAAGTCGTCCCAGAGCTACTGTAGTATAAATGTGGTTTCTTTCAAAACACTTAAAGTCCAGGCAACATAGTCTCTGGGACTGAGCATGGCTTTGGAAATCAGAAAGAGCCGAGTCCGTGTTACTATTTATCAGCTGTGCAAACCGAGCGACCAACATTACCTGAGCCGGTTTCCAGTTTGTAAAATAGGGTTTTATGTAAGGTTGTTGTAAAGATTAAAGGAGATTTTACAGTAAGACAACAGGTAACAGTGATTGAAATACAGCCAGTATCCAGCAACTATCAATTGGTGGTACCCACCCTCCTTGTGCAGTTTTTAAGGTAATATTTGCACATGGTATAAAGTCAGATGGTATAAAAAAAAGTCAAAGGGTGAGAAAAGAATGTCTTCTTGTCATCTGTGATTCTTGGTTCCTCCAGGCCCCTCCCAGAGCTATTATTATTGCCAATGTCTTGTGTATTTGCTCTGAAGATATTCTGAGCATATACAAATTTTATGCATTGACTCATTAACCTTTTTTTTAAACAAGTAGTACCTGCTCTTGTGAACCTTTAATAGGTACTATATAAGTAGCCACAAAGGAGGCATGGGGGTGGGGCTAGCATAGCCAAGAGATCTCTAGATCAGAATTATTTCACAGAAAGCCAGTACATCTCTCTGGCATGTAAGAATGTGGAGAAGAACATTTAAAAGGGAATGCATACATG